CTGGATGCCGGAGGACGTCCCGGTGTCCTGAAGGTACACGCGCTGGACCGCGGCGCCACGCCAATCCTCTTGCCGATTGACACTCTCAAGTCCTTGAAGGCCTTGCTCGATTTCTCCGACGGCACTATGGTGCTGAGAGGTATAGATGCCACACGTATTGTGCAGCTGGAAGAATCCAGCACCGGCCATTTGTTGTTGCCCCTGACAGGCAACATTATGGCCCGGTCACAGCCAGCAGCCCAAGCGGTCCCTAGCCTCAGTTCTTATCTTCGTAGCAACGAGCCGAAGCCAGCCTTCCATGCAAGCGAGGCTGGGCAGGACACACATGCTTCAGTGTCCGTGCCAGAGTTTTGTGAAGAGTAGGGACAGCTCCTCCCTGATCCGAGTCTTGACGGAAAAAGGGAGGTCCACCGTGCGCACATGGCGCAGTCTTCAAGACAGGGGTTTACTACAACTGAATCAAGTTGTACGGTAGCAGCAAGTAGGAGAGTAGGTGTGAAGAGTTTCCCCAACAGTGCCGTTGAATCTTTTCATGTACAGTCGCATGCCACACATCACGCCGCAGCCAACTCGTGTTCCAGCTCGACTACAGCGCCAACCGCTCCAACAGCATCCGCACTTGGTGTTGAACATGTCGGACCTCAAGAAGGCCGAACTACGCCAGGAGCTCGAGAAGCTGGGGGAGCATCCACCTACCAGCTGGACGAAGATTCAGCTGAAGCATCGGCTGGAGGAGCTCACGGGTCAAGACATGAGTGTGTCTACCAAGAGCCGCACCAAGAAGGTCTCGGAGATGTCAGTGTGGGTGAAGGAGCTCAACAAGAACAAGGAGAAGCGCAAGACGGAGTTCATCCACTGGTGCGAGCGCGAACTCGCGATGACCAACCTCGTACACCAAGGCGCGCATCGAGATGGAGGCGATGAAGAAGATCATGATGCTGTCGGAGCCCGACGGCTCCGATCCGGTGTCTTTCGGCAAGTACGGCCCACAGACCTATGCCGAGACGACCCGCATCGACCCCAGCTACTGTCGATGCGTGGTGCATACAGCAAAGACCAATGCTGCGGATGCCGATCCACGACTCATCCGCTTCGGCCACTGGCTCAACGATCAGGATCAGCGCGAGATGGTCCCTGCAGAGAACCCGGTGACCACCAAGTACCCCTTGCAGGAGCCCAAGACGGTGACGATGACTACCACCACGACCACATCGACGGCATCCTCGAGCGGGTACCAACAGCAGATGAACTTGCTGGTCGAGACGGTGGCTGCACTTCGAAACGAGGTGGCAGCCCTCAAGAGCGAGAAGGCACGGAAGACCTCGATCAAGGACGACGAGAAGCCGTCCACCCCGAGAGCTACGCCAACCAAGTTGACGCCATCTACGACGACACCGTGAGTGAAGCCGCCCTTGGCTCAGAGTCCGAAAGCGCTTCCCAGAGATTGAGCCGGTTGTTATCTACCGGTCGAGCCCGACACTTAGAAGCTGAAGCCTGGTCGGTGGTTCCTAGGTTGCTTCAGGGTTTGGTTCAGGAAAGGCGCTCAATTCTCTTGGAAGTGACTCAATCCCCAGAGAGTGTGCTTGCTCAGAGCATTCAAGCCAATGCTCCTCAGGGTTCATCGTCAAGCTCTTGCCACCGGGTTGATAGTGGGTACTTGAGGGACGGAAAAGGAGTAAAGCACATCCTCAACCAGGTGACCGTGCTGCGACCTTCTCATGTTTGGCTTGCGCCCCCAACCGAACCGTACAGCCCACTTCAGAACGTGAACCAACGAAGCCCCCAACAACAAGCCGAACTTGAGGCCAAGCGTAGGGAGGCTGTGAAGCTGTATGTAGGATGCTGTGTTGTGTTCCACTAGTGTGTCCAGAATGGAATTCATGTCACTTTAGAGATGTCGGAACACTGCCAAGCCTGGCGATTACCCATCCTGGTCAGCCTGCAGTCTAAGTATGACCTGTACAAGGCCACTACGAAAGGTTGCAGGGTTGGATTGCGAGAAGACAACAGTAGACAAGGTCCGTTGCTCCAGAAAGGATGGCGCATCCTCACCTCCCAGAAACGATTGGCTGAGCTCATGAATCTTCCGTGTCGGTGTTCGAAACATTATCGTCATGGTAGATGTCGAAGTCAGGAGCAAACCAAGGTCCCTAGATATACTGGAGAGTACGCTAGACAGGTGAGCCAAGCCCTCCTCCAGGAGCTAGACTACACTACGTACTACAACCTTTCAGGAGCTTCGCGGTCAGTCTAGCTTGTTGTCCCGATTTGGAGAAGGGCAGCACTGTGTCTGCTCTGATGTGACACTGCCGAATCGTCCCCGACAATGTGGTTTCTGCTTGCAGACTTCAGGGAGCTCTGAAGGTGTGATTGGGCTCACTTCGGAAGATCAGGAAGGGACTTCAGGGTTGACTTCGGAGAGTTCAGAGATTGGGGCTGAGGGTGATTCAGAAACTTCGGAATGGTGGCTTCAGGAAGGTGCTCCTCTTGAGGCGAAAGACAGGACTTCAGATTTTCAGGAGGGAGACGAAAGCAGGTTGTACGTGCATCAGGTTGCTGATATGGAGGCAGTGGCACAACAGCTACTCAGGACTCAGGACTTCCAACACGAGTCGTGCGAGCAGCTTCTTGAGATGCTTCCTTATAGGTCTAGGAAACAACATAGGGGTATTCTGGGTCAAGGAGCTGCACTGTACCTGGTGCTCGGCGCTTACTCGTACGGAGGAAAGTATGGGGTGACTCAGCGCACCCAGCAACTCCCCCACACCATTAGATACCTGAACAAGTACCTCGACCACTGGCAGTCTGGACCTCTTATCCGTAGCAGCCTGGTGATCAACTGTAACAGTA